AATTTTGCAGAAAATAAACACTACTACGTACTAATATTTTTAAGTCCCGTCTCTCATGAGTACATATATTGGCATATGACTATTAAAGACATAACATTATTCACACAATACACAATCACCCTCCAAAGTCACCTTCTTCACCTTCCCAAATTAAACCTCTCTTTTTATGAATTATTTACCTACAAACCCTCACACAACATAATAAAAGTATCACATTTTCAGTTTTTTTATTTTTTTATTTTTTTTTACTACAATCCATTAATCACATAATCTTGGTACATTTCTCCACATTGAACTTGAAGCATGTCGTCTGAACCGGGCCAGGATCCTAACGATGCTGAGCTGGCGGCATCACATTCATTCGGCCACCATCCGAGGTTGTCCTTAGAACAATCATTTTCGGCTATGTTACTCCCTATATCCGGATAAAAACCAGAAGTTTTATAATTGAGCAAATCGTAGAGCTCGGTTTGAGTGAAGCCCGAACTTATAAGCTGGCCATCTATCACATTTTGCTCCATATTTTCCGATTCGGTAAAAACAATTTGGTCACCGGTCGACACAAATGGGCTTTGGTCAAAAGACGAAAAATTATTAGACGAATTACTATTGGTTTTTAAATCACTCAAAGGACTGTAATTATTAGGAGCAGCTTGAGAGATAATCAACTTGTTTTGGTTTCCATTCATAGAATTTAGGGTTTGTATCATTTTTTGCTGAATGGGGTGCAATAATTTGGGCCAAAGTGAAGGATTATTATTATTGTCGAAAGGCAAAGGGTTTTGAAGGTTCCGAAGGTGCATGTGGAGTTGAAGCCTTTCGAGGGCCGAGTGGCTAAGGTTTTGCGTAATGTCACAGTTTTTTTCGTCTTCGGTTGCGTATTTTGGGTCTCGACTGGAAATAACCGAGGCCTGATTCGAGTTCGACTGCCTGCGCCTGCCGAGGAGCTTCTTCTTAAGCCTCGTGTTCCAGTAGTTCTTGATGTCGTTGTCTGTTCTTCCAGGCAGCTGGGCAGCAATTATCGACCATCTAATATGTATATAATAACCGGAAATTGAAATTTAAGAAATTATTCATCAAAATTCGAACATCAAGGTGAAGGAAAGCCTAATAACCTTGTAATAACAAAGAGAAAAATGCTTAAACCCTAGCTAAGAACAAAATTTGATTCCAAGTCATGAACATGACTAACTAGAGAATTGGGAAAAATAAAAAAGAATGTTGAAAAACATGAAGCATTATACGCAACACAAATTCTTATATGAGATAGCCTAACAGTTAGGTCATTATAAAAAAATGCTATATTACAAAGGAAACTCCAACAGTAATATATTGCAATGAAAATTTTAACGGATATTCCAATGGTAAAGTTTCCATTAGAATGA